GGGAGACAAAGGCGTATGGGGCGTGGTGTTGGTCACGCATCCCCTCGCGTGCGCTGCTCTCCTTCATAGGTGCTCGCTAACAGCACCTCCCCCAGCAGTCTGTTATGTCGGTGATTGTGATCGTGGTTGTGGTGATGATGATGATGATGGTAGCCGGTGATGATAGTAAGGCCCAATTTAAAACGCTTGATACGCCGGAGCTGCCCCCCACCACCACCACCCCCCTTGGGAAGTATCTAAATCCACCTCTGCTGGTGGTAATAGTATTCATTGTGTCTGCGATGGTGATACTTTTGATACTGATGATGACAATTCTGGTAGCTCATCCACATCACCATTATAACAATCAATATTAATAGCAGCATCGAGATAGATGAAACCTGAAGCAGCAGCATTGTGGTTCCCCAAGGGGCGTTGTTGGTTTTTGTGGAGTGACTTACACTTGGCCACTAGATGAGCATACAGTGATGCGAGCGTATGTTGTGTGTTTAGGCTCACAGTGCATCGTTGCTGGTGCGGGAGATGTTAATTGTGCATATGTGCCCTGGGCTAAGACGCTGTGTGCTCGTTTTCATGTGCGGTGTGTTCTCTGGCAGCATTGCAAGTGTCTCTGCTTTCCACCAACGCTGTTGAACAGCGTGCTACTGTGCATGCACGTTCAATTCTGTCGAGATGAATGGGTCCGTGGAAAAATAAGCGCGTCACATTATGATATTGGAGAGCTATGAATAATCTCTGCTTGTAACAATTATCTGACTGCAACCCATATCTGTCCAAGCCTACAGACACGTGATATTGAGGTGATACAACGTAATGTTAAGACGGTTCAAGCACAGTGGTTCTGAGATCCTTGAATACAAGCTTTAGACATCTGATCGATTATTTAAAAAAAGCACAGCGTTCTCGATTAACCTCCCAGAAATTTCTAAATTATGGGAGGTCTATCCTTCTCCTTTGCTGTTCACGTGGTGTTGAACATTCATTGGTATTATCTCCATCTATCTGACTGTACTTTCTCGACACAAATGTCTGCAACTTTTATGTTGCGAATTATTTATTCGGTTCAAATTTCCTTCACTCACTTTTATAGAGATATATAACTCCACAGTGAGGTTATTCCTCTGTTATACACGGCAAATGTCAGTCTATTACAGTTCTAAAATATGAATTGAAGGCACAGCTCAAAACTAAACAGCCCTTATCTTGAAGCTACACACCTAGTCCCGGTGTCCCGTACTGACCCAAACTACTACTAGACGTCTGTCAAAAAGAGCTTCATAGCTCATCGGATTTCTCCAGGACAAATAAAGATTCTGATTCTGACTCTCAAACGTCTTTCCTGGGAGAATTAAACAACTCCTTTCTAAAAGTGCAGGAGGGAAACATTAATGACTTCATGGAAGTGTTTGTGGCGAATTTGAACGTAAACTAAAGAAATAAACCGTTAACTACTCGTGTTTGTTTCGTATTTTCTTTCAATTCAATGCAAAATAATACGGGTGAAATGTACGCAACTGGTAGGTGCAAAACGCACGAGACAAACAAAAACATAACGACGAGCCTGAATAAATGAATGTATACAAATGATAACACTGCCTTGAAATCGCGCCCAACGAGACGGAGTTTCACACTCACGTCAAAGTCCGGGCGCAATTTTACGATGCAGCGCTGTGCATTGTCGTGCGGTGATTTCAAGCTCCGTGGCTCCAGGCTGCACCGCGGAACATTTGTTACATCTTCTCTGTTGCTCTGAACAGGGCCGAGACATGCCCCCCCCCCCCAGTGCTATCAGAATAAATGGCAGCTGCACAAAATGCGCTTTGCAAAAAAATATAGAAAGGGGTGGGGGGCGCAGGGAGCCCGCAAACATGTAATGAATGTAAATGTGCAATATTCAAGAGCGGTGATGGCTTTCATTGGTCCTCGCTGCTCGGAATCTTGGCTGAAATGTTTTATATATATATTGCTTGACTATTTCTAGACTTGAATAACGACAGTAATAAAAAAAACGCAAGTAATTTCTACGGCGAATTCAAGTGCAAATCAAATTGTTAATAATCGGGGACAATTTCCGCTGTTTCAATTGGCGACAATTCCCATGAAGAACTCTGCACACGATAGCGCGAGGAATCCGCGTTGCAAATGTGTCGTTGTATGAGCTTTTGGTGCACGGTGACCTGTGGACAGTGACTGCTGCACTCTGCTTTCAAACTCGTGACGCCAATTAGCATGATCCGGTTTTTCTTTCTTTTACATTTCCTGAACCACGGGCCACAAAAAATAGAGCATCGCATTTTGTGAGCGCCAAACTGCTCCGAGCTAATTTTCACAAGAGGCCCTTGATGAATTGACCGAGGTTCGAGACATAATCCAGGCAACAGTTAACAATTACAAAGCCACTGCTTGTTTGAATTACCATGAAAACAGCAGTGGGACATCGAGTCACGTCAAGCTTCTGTTTTTGCAAACCAGAACCTAACAAAAAAATGCTAAACTGTTGAATGCAATAAAGGATGTTTTAATATGGAAAGCTATGAATTTAACAATCGCACCCATCGCTGCTGTGCCGTAATGACTTTATTACTCAGGCCTTTCAGCAAGAGCGTTCCGTGGAAGCTTCTTGTTAATGCCATTGTTTGGTTGATCAACGGCCCTCAGCGCTGACAAGCCAGCTCACATTGTGCGTATTTCAAAACAGTTATTAAAACGAGGGACCTTTTATGGTGTATTACTCTCTATAATGCCCCGTTATCTACATTTCTCTCTGGCAGCCACCTGGCCGAGTGGATGTCACCCACTGAGAATATCTCAGCCGACTGAAGGTAACAGGGATGGTTTTTTTTCTTTAAACGTATAACCATATGTGGATAAAGTAATAAATACAGATTGCACTAATAAGCATTCATATATGATGTATATACACAAGGATACCTAATTAGACATTAAAGTGCATCATAATAATCACCAACCATGTTTTATCTACTGCTGGATGAAAGCTTCCCCAAGCCGTCATCTTCCCCGATATATTTTCATTTAGCTATATACTTTGTTTGCTGTTGTTAGTTTTTATGATACGTATTATAGCTCTAACGACACGTCAGTATATTAATTGACATCAATGTGTATGCTCACGATATGCGCATCGGACCGTGTGTGTGTATAAGATTGGTAGATGCTGTATGCTGTGAGTTCACGTGAGACGTTCTGCAAATACCACAATGGTAAAAAATGCAACCGATTCTCATATGCAGAGTATGTACGTTAAACTTTTTTTCACACCGTACTTAGCAAACCACGCTAATTGGAGTACGGAATCACAAGGGGTGATTCGTGAAACTCTGGTGTTTAAATTGTACCTAAATGTGTTTTTTTAATATACAGAAATATCTGACAAGGTAATGATAATAATTATTATTTGCATGTGCATTAGGTAATAATGGTGATCACCTTAAAATTGTTTATACACACACGAGCATACCTACATGGGCATTATCGTGCCACTCAATAAGCAGATGGAAAAGTGAAGTTTCACGTTTCTTGGATCACATTGACTCCATTTGTTACTTCTGGTATAAAAGTCAATAGATGACAATGCCATTGTAATTTCTTCATATTTACATGTTGCTCAAGATCCCCTCTCCTGCTTTGTGGTGAAATATTATCTCCCTCGCCTGGCATGCATGGAAGTCGTCAGTTCGATCCCGACCCTGACAATGCCTGTTTTATATTTGTAGTTCACGCGTTCTCTCTCCCCGTGGTCACGTGGGTTCTTCTACGGGTTCCTTCAACTGTGCCCCCTACAATTAGAAACAGGCGTTTAGATAATTTGGGTACTTTAATTTCCCAGATGTTATGATATACGCCACTCCGATGAGCTCTCGTACGTGGTCAGGTCACCTCTGATTGAAAGCTAATAGCTCAGTGGGCTTTCCCTGCTGAAGTAAAGTAGTTTAAGGCTTTCTCACACCGGTTTAGTGTAGTAACTAATTGGCACGTTTTGTTTACGTGACACTCCTTGCTAATTGGCTAACCAAAAAAAAAACCTTCATTCTGGAAAATGAAGTCGTTTCGTTTTAGTTCATACTGTGGACTGCATGTGTATTGATGGTAATACATTTTCAACTCCATTGAGCAACCATTAAATATAGAGGGATTTCCTTTAAACTCACAGTAACTTATGTTCAACAGCAAAATAATAAACTCAGGAGGCGTGACTTTGAAAATAATCAACTAGAATTTTGAGCGGCACCCTATTCGACATATATACACCCATACTTTTCCATAACTATGTCTTGCTTATATTATCTCATATGCTCATTCCGTACAATGAAGATTATAACCCACGCGAAAATAACAAACTGTACTTTTAGTGTTTGTAAAAACTAAAATAAACCAAAAACAAGAATTCAATATATTGACAATTCTTAATTTATCCAGGAATGACTCACTGAGTGTCAAGATTCTCTGGGGTGGCGATCTTACATTGTGATGTTTGCGCCATCCCTTTAACATGTTCGTACCACTAATCGATAGCTGGTTCTCCCCGGTTACACATTTTGTATTGTTCCTTTTCTCCCGTTTTTATCTCGATCGTGCTAACGATTTTGCTGTTGTCACGAGACACAGAATCTATTCAGATATCTTGCAGAGCAGTGCACCGCTTCATGTTAGAGAATGGACCGTGGCAGTGAACGCCACAGAGCTCCCTCTATAATCCCTTCAAGTGACCTCTGGTTCACACAGTCGGGGGAAGGCAGCAGGGGGAGGGGCGGGTACCAGCACTTTCCCATCTGCCCTACCGCTGACAGTAATGTGTGTTGTTCCAAACTCATCTTTTATTTATTCTCATTAACTAAGCTTCAAACACGTGCCAAACATCTCGCGTTACGCAGCCTCGGTACGTAACTTGTCCCTCCTACCCGGCCGACCCGGGGTCACAATGCCTCAAGTGACACCGCTGAGCCTCCCAGAAATTCGGCAGTGCGTCGACGCGGCTTTACCAATATGGTGCGTCACCAAGTCGGTGGACTTCATCTCCTCGAAGCCGATGATGTACCAGATGCACGCCATCCAGTGCGCTAGCAGCGCGAACATGCACATGAGCATAGCGAGCACCACGGCGCTGTACTGCGAGTAGCGGTCCAGCTTCTGGAGCAGCCGCAGGAGACGCAGCAGCCGCACCGTCTTCAGCAGGTGCACAAACGATGTCTGTGCAGCACCACACGTTCAGGGGGAGACGGGGGGGGGGGGTGGTGACACGCGTTGGAGTGGTGGTGGCGGCGCAGTGCTTAGCGCGCGAGGAAACCGGAGGCGACCTGATGGTTCGTACTCCTGACCCACGGCTAACGTTCAGTAGCGAGCAATATCTGAACCGGTCTTGACCCCCCCCCTCCCCCCCCCCTTTCACCAACCCGCACTGACCGTCGTGGTGAACTATGGTCGAATAATCCCCATGGCCAAGACAGTGTGGGGAAACCTTTATTCACACATGTTCTTGTCAAAGGGCCCCACATGACTTGTTTACGAGTAAATAATTAGCATTCAAGCAATAGGGATGTGGAGTTTCAGTATCATGTGTTCAGGAAATCCACTATGAAGTTTTACTCTAAAATAAATAATAATCGTATTCGAAAGCCGAAAAATATTACTCCAGGATGTTTTTACATGAGGTGTTTTATAGGCGTGCAATGATGCATTGATGAGTCACATTAAAACCGATTCTTACACTTACAATGCATGTGTAATGTAGCTCTCAGAAACACCATCTTGTTCGGTTATATGTATATTTATTATGAATAAATTCCACCGGCTCACTGATAACTTAACGAGTAACCGCGAGTGACTATACACAGCTGGGTAACTTCCGTGCCTCTACGCGACGCTCCCTGTGTAGTTGGCTGGCTACACAGGAGCGGACGCGTAGTAGTCACGGAGACAATATTAACTCTAGCCTTCCAAGACTACAAGGTGCCTAATCCAAGATGATGAAGACGACCCGCTCCAAGGTGACGACAGCGACGACAGCTCCTTGGTTCCCCCACAACAGCAGCCCAGAGCCCTGTTCCATGCCGGCTTTTATCCCCCTGACGACCCGGCCACGCCCCTCTTCCGGAACCCTCTCTCACCCCCCAGGTCCTGTCTGTCTCTGTCTCAATAACTATTTACGACCGTTTAGGTCCGTGCTTATCCTCACGTGACCGAGTCAATGCCCATCGCGTCAATCATTATTAACGACCACTTAGGTCCCACATTACCCAAACGTGACCCTGTCTGTTCCCGTCACGTTAATTAGTAACCACGGCCACGGGGACCCATACTGTCCTTACACATGCATCAAATCAAGCGCATGAGAATTAATTATTTGCAATGTACACTGCCCCCATGAGTGCCATCACCCCTAGAGGATGGAGTTCTTGTAAATGGGGTCATATTCCCATCTTGGTAAAATGGCGTTTGTGATTTGCCGCAATTTTATTTCCGGAAAATGTGTTTTCCCGCAACGTCATCCCCAGTGCGCTATGAGCGTCGTGGCACGAGACAAAGTATCCGTTCAGATCCCTCGCAGAGCAGTGCGGCCATTTGTGTTAGAAAACAAGCCCATGGAAGCGGATATCACAGGGCTACCTCTGAGATCCTTCAAGTGTTCGACACAGTTAAGCAGGCGGCACTTGCCTTGCTAATTTTGCCACGCGAAGTCCAGTTAATCAAACGACAGGTAATCTCATCATTCTAACTGTCAGAGCTGGAATATTGCCAAGTTATTTGATCGTGTAATCCACCACTTAAATTCCCCCATTTTTTTATCCTTTATATTAAGTTCGCTTGCTTGCGTGCAAATCTGTCGGTCGTTTTTTAACCCACTTCCCGTGATCCAATCGAGCTGACATTTTGCACACAGACTCGTTGTACGTGACAATGCATTTTCGTGAAAAAAATTTCCAAAATTTTACACTGTTTAGTGGAAAAAAATATTTAATTACCAATTGTTTAATGCTGCCAGACAATCATCTGCCCCATAGGTGGCAGCCATCTCAAGCCAGAGGACGAGAGGACTCTAGCCGCCCCGCTGCCACGCATATAAAGGATTTATAGTGAAAAACTTTGTTTTTACGGGTTAATTTTTTAGAAGCTCCTCCCTGTTTCCTCCTCAACGTCCCCCGTGTGAGAACCAAACTCGGTTTTCATTCGTTCCGTCTAGTGGCACCTAATCCCTGGAATAACTGTGTGAAAATTGTTTGGGATCAAAACCTCACCACCCCTTGTCCTACCCGGAATCACTTTTTTGCACCTCGGGTTTCCTTTCAAGCGTATGAGCAAATTGATCGTTACGCTTTGCAAACTTTAAGTTATAAAGATAGGTTTTGGAACGCGATGCGTTTTTTTCGAGCCTTGTATTTCTGTGTGCTCGTTGCACCATAGTGATACATGGCAATTGCCATTCGGAACTTGCCCGAGTACAGTTTTTGTTTTCGGATGTATATTTATTTGTTTGTTGTTTCGCTGTCACCATATTTCTTTTGTGTCATCAGACCCTCACCGAAAATGAGCATTTATAGGCCGATGAGTTTTATATATGCCAAAATAAAACACTTAACCTAACCCCAACATTTGAGTAAACAAACAAAAAAACTGTATCGGTACATGTATCGAGTCTTTCCTCTCTTTATATTATAATTAAACCAGGTCTTGAATCCCTCCATTCCTGATAGTAATAATAATCTGCATTTGTATAGCGCTGACAATTCCCAAGATTCTGAGGTGCTTGCTAGTTTGTTTGACATCTGCTTCCGAAAGCACTTTGTGAACATTCGTGTTTTGACATCTTTTTTGAAAACTCGTCACAGAGCTGCAGTTGACTGTCCGCTCGAAGGCAGCGGGCCCCCAGCCTTGCAGAGTTCCAGGCGACTGGCGCTGCTGTGATCTGTGGTGTTCGCTTTGCATCACTTTCGGGGGTTGGCGTATCACCGAAAACGCAGCACACGACCAGGGTGTGAACTTTTCTTTAGCCTGCGTCAGAGGTGCGATTGTTGTCCAATTGAGCTGGTTTTCTGAGCCAGCAAGTGCCATCTTACAATCTATTCTGCAGCGCACCGCGGGCAAACCAGTGCACAGGCTTCAGAAGCGGCTGAGAAGGCGATCACTTTGGACATTGGACAACAAATTTAGGGATGGATTCAGGCCTCCAGCAGTACAGCAGTACATGCCTGCTGTTGAAAATGTTTTAGCAGTGTTCTACAAAAACCCATAGACGCAAAGGTTATGCATTCAAACACACAAGTAAAGTGCAGATCTTAAAATAAGAAGGCTGGCTTTCGAGCAGTCCAACTTTTAAGATAATTACATTTATGTTGCATGGGAATTCCTCAAGATAAAGCTTTAAGACCTTCCTATTCCCTGATTCATGGTTCTGTAAAAGCTACGAGACCCATACATTAATTGCACCCTGCGTGCAAGTCACTGTTTACATAATTGTTCAGGAAAACAAGGGCGTACATCTCTACTGGTGGTATAAAATGCTTCATTAATTTATCCCTTTCTCACGAATGTTCACTTTTCGACGTGGCGTCGTGTCAATGTTATTACCGTAAGTGCCACAGCTTTACTCTCATTCTTTATTCGTTTCTTCTAAATGTCGCTTCAAGGCACACGAGAGCTTCCTGAGCCTTAGGCACCACTCGCTGAATCACAAAGAGCGCCAGGATGCTAATGCGAGCATTTGTTGTGCAGCGGAGTCGGTAGCCCACAGCTCATCGCGACTAAAGGACCACTTTGGCACACTTCGTGAGTGAGTGTTCGATGAAGCGAGACGCTGTCATGGGGATAGCGGAACGGTAAGAGCCATTGGTATGTGCTGTCACCGCATTGATTGGAACGTGCCCTGCAGCCAGCAATCAATCAACTAATGAATGATCTCTAACAATGGTGAACTGCACTTACATCTGCCTCGGAGGGAGTACTTTCATTAAAAAAATGAATAAAGGAATAGAACAGTCATCCTTGATCGTATCTCTCCGTCGACTTAAAAAAAATATATATTATTTTAACTCCGACGTGGTTAGGCTCTTGCACGCATTGCTTTAGTCAAAGGGTCTGCCTCGCACTTGAGATTTTCCCAATTATGCACCTGTGTCTAAACAGATGATAATAGAATGTCCCATTCGCTGAGAAAGAAATGCATTAAAGCCACGCTAATACGATTGTCTCAATTAAAAGTCCACTTTTCACAAATTTCCCCCAGTATTTCCACAACGAAATCCATCCAGCAGCGCTGGTGCTTGATTGTTCCCACGTGGATGGCACGTCACTTGTGCACCCGATTCACTGGCATCATCATCATCACCATCAGCCATGGTCAATCCGCTGCTGGATGAAAGCATTTCCCAGCCATTACACTAAAGAGGCATCCGATTAGCTCTGAGCAAAACAGTGATCCGCATCAGAGTGATAGGCATCATTATCCAACACTGAATTGCGATGCCTATCACTTCACAGCCACATTAAACATATTGCTTGAGGACCCACTCACTGCCTTTGATATTTCTCTTTTTGATATAGGCAAGCCCTCGACATGCCTATATCAAAACCATGTTTCTGCCAGGCCAATTTACAATGAGCATGAGGATGTACTCTTCTCCTATTTACAGGCAGTGGTAGAAATTCCACATTCCTATGACAAAGCTGAGTCATTCCACAGAGAGATCCACTGTTGTTTCTGATACCTCCGTCATTTAGCAATTGCATAGTGGTAAAGCTGGTATCATGACATCCTCAGGTCTCACCAATCCGTCTCAGGTTTCCCATGTGTGAGATTACAAATGCGGCTGAATCGAGTAATTGCGGTGCACTAACGCTATCTCAACCAGACGGCCGTACGAAGCCCATGCAGCTTTCCAGAAGTGGTCTAATGTCTAATGGTCCTTGTGCCAGAGCAAACAAATTGAAACCACCTAAAGTAGCAGCAGATCCTTTCGTAGTACCCATTGATTTATCCGGCTTAAAATAGTGAATCACTCGGTAACCCACTCATTTCAAATGGTCGTCACACAATTATTTACTGTTGTTGGCCACATTAAGAAATTGGAACCTATAAGGTAATGTCACGTCAGGTGGTAGCGACAAGTCCAGCACTGGCACGTCATCGTCAACGTTAACATCACTGGGGATTATTTTCAGCTGGATCTGTCGGCACATCACATTCACCATAACCC